CCCCCGCAACTCAGGAGATGAAAGAAAATGTTTTTCTCCCTGAGTCTGGCCTTCATGATTCCATTCCATCACATCAGCACACACATTGCACCAATGATAGGAAGCTTGTTACACTCTACATTTGTAGGTTACAGTTCCCATAATCCCTGATCACTAGCTATCCTAATGTGGACTGATAGAATATAGTATCTTCATTGTGATCTTTGATCAGCATAAAGTAAAAATATAGAGATTATAAAATTAATAACTATAACATAAAAACAATTTGTGTCTACAGATTGTAAGGATAGTAACTATAGAGTAAAAAGAGGGAGAGATATAAATTATAAGTCTGCTATAAAACCAAATCTGTGCTATCTAAAAAAAACTAAAAGAAGAAGCTACAATAGCAATAATACCTGGAAAACCAAATAACTGGAAATGAGCAACCATCGTGTGATAGTTAGGCATGAACTGTTGGTCAAACAACTGGAGATGTTACGTTGTCTACTGACTATATTAGATGAAGTAAGGAAGATATTTAGTTTACAGTTCTTTTTTACAGAAAGAAAACTGCTTCATATACTATTCCTTAGCACTAGATTGATATTTTTTAACTACATTAATACAAACAGGATTAAGGAAGTCAGGAAATTATTCTTGACAAATGAATTGTACAAAATAAAAGAGGACATAAAGCTAATAAATAAATCATAGATTTGTAGAATCAGAAGGAACCACAAGGGTCATCTAGAAAACTAATTATGACAAAATATATTTATATGTTAGAAAGGAAGGAAAAAGCATAATCGCTTAGGAGAGAGACAATGAAATCTTGCCCATCATATGAAACTGAACTATGGAGCAGCAACATATAGAGAACTACAGAACTATGATTAAGGATTTTGCAGAATTTAATTATAAAAGAGAGCAACAGCAAAAAGAAAATAAAAGAAATTCAATTAGGCAATGCTGCTTCTGAGGAAGTCATCTAACTTGAGGAAAATAACAAATATGGTGAAGATACAGAGGGCCTAGGAAAAATGGAGGCAAAAGAGGGAAGATACTTTGAAGGTGCATGTATCCAGCTATTCTTGGCCATTTTGACCCTTGTGATTTATTATAGCCTATTATAGAGTACAAAGTATTGACAGTGACGGTATAGACATTATAGTGACGGTATAAAGCCTATGTTTATTACTGATACACTGGCAATGGCATGATGATTCTATCAGATGTTGTAAGTGTGGAAATGGCACTTGGCTCAGAGCTCATAAACAGGAGAGGAAAAAACACTACTGACTTTAAAGCCAACATCCTTAACAATCCTACTGCTTAGCTCTGCTGTGGGGCAAGGTTTTACCATATAAGTTCAGGAGGGTCTAGCCCCCAACATCTGCAACCTGATGAACAAGTAGAAGTCCCAGGAATATCCTGTGACTGCCAACCAAACTCTCAGTGTTGCTGGTGGTTCATTAAAATGGGTGCAGCCTGAAGTAGCATGGGCTGTGAAAATCTGTCTGGCTACTCAGAGTAGCACAAGGAAGAGAGAAGAGCCTTGGGCTTGGGCAGATGTGCTGATTCCCAAGTAGACAGCAATGTGAGAAGAGCACAAGAAGCAGAAAACCTTGAAAGAGTTACAAGCCAGTGCAACAGAGCAGTCTGGGTGGGCCAGATTCCATGGTCACACTAGGAACTAAGATGCCAGGTGCTTTATAAAAAATGCAAGCAAAGAACACAAAGAAGGCAACAGCCACAAGTGTGAATGAACGGAGGTAGGGAAAAATAAGAAACACTGGTTTATCTGTTTGATAGAATTGGAATCTTCCTGACTACTTGAAATACAACCAGCTGTTTAGATCCTGTCAAGCCATGCTTTCAAGGATCCTTGTCGAGAAGTTCTGTCTGAAGGCACATAAGCTCAGAAGGAATATATATCGTGCTTGGTCATTAAATTGGCTGCCAAAGTTGTCCTAGGTTATCTAATTAAGATGATTATTTGAAAACCCAGGAAGCCATCTGCATTATTCATAGTTCCTATTGTATGTGCAGGTGGCTACTTTAGGATTAGTTTTAATGAAGGAGGGCTAATAATGTATATAACTATATACTTAAATGCCATCTTAAGTCAGATACTTTCAGACCCCACTTATATAAATGGTATATTATTTACAATAAGTCAATAAAATAATAACACCAATGAGTACTCTAGAGAAATATAAATAGATACATTTGTACAAAACCATCATTGCTAAACTTCTCAGCAATATTTATTGAAATAGTCCCAGATGATTATTTTTGGCATTTTTGGTTTCTACATAAAGGTTTCATTGGTCCATGGTCCAGATGGCTATGGTATGTAGCAGTTCATCATTATTTCTGTTCTAAGTGCTAAAATGTCATCGAAACAGGGAGACTGGCTAGATCACCTAATTAAAATTAGAGCATATTTCTCTTCCATACTAAATAATTTGAATGGAAATGGTTGACACATGCAGACATATCTAGCTGAAGCATTAGGCAATGCCCTCAGGTTCACAGTGCTTAGATCAGGACAACAGGGACACACAGAAAAATGTACCCATTGGCTGCCTCCTAATTAGGAAGTTCTGTTCTCCTGTGACATGCCAAAAGATGTCAATATATCTCTCTGGATAAAGATAGGAATATTGGAAGCCATGGGAGCTTTGACTGATGGCAGAGACTGAAGGATAACAAAATTTTGCAACTTCAGATTTTTGGGGTGGTATGGCCATATATTTAAATAAATAAAATGTTTTATGTTGGTTAGACTGTCTCAACAGTGCAGTTTTGAATATGTTTACTTAAAACAGTGAAAAGACAAGACTTAAAAGCTAACCAAATTATGATAGCATTTCGTGGACTATAGTTCATTTCATCAGATGTATTAAGTAATGTAAATGAGGAATGCATATATAAATCCATGGTACAATGGGAAACGAAACTGGCTAGTCTCCACACAAAAGAATGAATGGAGCACAAATCTGACATCAAGCACAGCAATATCCCAGAACCAATGGGGGACATTTCAATGATCCAGTTTACTCTGCTCCTTCTCAAAGCAAAGGAATTACACAGCCTGATTTCAATTAAGCTGGAATTTATTAGAAATTTTATACTATTTTCCATAGAAGAAATAGAGATAAAAGTTCATATCTGCAACCCAAGTGTGATAACGCATATGTCTCAACCCCAGAATAGTCAGTATCAATAGCTAATAATCACTTGCTCTGCATATTACACAAGTAATTTTTCTCTGACCCCGCTGTTACTGTTTTTTCCTCAGAACCATGTGTGTATATAAATTTCTTGCTAAGGATGATACCGCATGCATCCATAATAGTTTATGTAATAATAAAATCAATCATTAATGTAGTCATTAGTCTCCAAGATGCCACAAGCTTCTGCAAGTTTTACTGTAACAAGCTAACATGCTTATCTTTCTGGAGATTCAAGGAAACTGAAGATTGCAGCCTCCTCAGTTAAAGCTTTGTTCTATGAGAGCAGAAATTAATTTTTCCCTTTTCTTTACCTTTTCTAGTAGAATTCCAGAAGCTGGGAGTTGAGTGTGTTTATAACAACAAGCAGCTGGTTGGCTGGGCAGATGTTGTTTTTCTCTGCTGTCTTCCATGTCACCTTCCACATATATGTTCAGATGTTCAGGATTCTCTCAAAAACTCTTGTATTCTGTACAGCTTGGTCACAGCAATCCCTTTGACCAGGTATTGTGCATTATGATATCAGTGCTAACTTGAACTGGAAAACAAAAAAAATAATCATACTCCCTTCCACATGCATATTGCTAGAAAGGCCCAATATTGAGCCAATATATGCAGTATATTTTCTGTCTGATCTGTATTCAAGTTCAGTGTATCATAAAACTGTAAGTCTCTCTCATTTACACAACAATGTTCTAATATATGCAAAGGTAAAACATGTACTTTCAGGACTTAAGGAAATTTTCTGCAGCTTTGTCTTTTTTTTAAAGATAATCTTTGCGTAGCATTACCATTAAGCCTCAGGAAAGCTGTATTTAGGTCGATGATTTTTACCATTATCCACAGAGTGTAATAACTTTTTATTTTCCTCAGTAAGAATGGCAAGGCACTTGTAATTATTGCCAAGAACATTACATGGATATAATTGCCAGAAATGGAGTTAGGCTGTGTATATCTTAGGTCCTGTATATGAAGAATGAGAATGGCATTGAAGTAGACTATTCTGTTGAATAGTAAAAGTCAGGCCTGAATATTAAGGGTACTCCCATTTCTAGCTAGCATCCATATATTTTGTGATTACATTTAAGGTAATCACAAGGTATAAACAAGGGTGTTGTTGTAACTAAGCAGATATCTTTTTGATTGTGCTCATATACAACAAGGAACCAATATATGCAGAACATGCTCATTCTGTGTTTGTACAGTTTATCAGCAAACATTGGCTGAAGGCACCAGCTGAGAATGAGCATGATCTATAAATACATACTCTTTGCAAACTTGCTTCTTGATGCTTGGTCCATCTGCATAATTTAAGCTCTTATTTTCAGACTGAAGCAACTTATTTCCTCCTGTTCAATCCTGAGGCCACAGTACAAGTTCTCTGACAACAGCTCTTTTCATATGTGGGAGGCTAACAGGACAGTTGTGGAAGCCCTCAAAGACCCAGCAGTTATCCAGACAACATGTCCTTGCAGCTCAAAGAGTAGGTGGACTTTTTTCAAGCCATGTGAAAAAAGGAACTGTTTCCCTTGTTCTTTTTCAACCTATAGATCTGTCTGTGGTTTGTCCAGAAAATTAGTATCAGTGGCAGCTGTACAATATACTATGGGCACTACCAGCCCATGTGATGCCTGATCTAGCCATGCAGCAGCATGAGATGGTAGATTTGGCTACAGGAGAGGAAGGGCAATTGAGGAATGTTCAGAGCAGGAGCAGCGCAAGCATTTTTCCATTATTAGCTTGGTATTTTACAGTTTAGGCTTTAAACAACTTTCTCCAACTTGGTGTTCTCCATTGGCCATTATGACTAGGAGTGATGGGAGGGCAACAGGTTGAAGAAGGCTATTATAGAGGCATGATGAACTAAACATGATAAAATATAAAATGTTTCCTTATTTTTCAGAGGAAATAGTTGTCAACATGAAGTGGCTGGCAGCTGTGTTTTATGCAGCTCTAAATAGCTATTCACAACAGCATTTCTCCTATACAAGAGCTCTGGGATTGCTCAATCAAGTATGTTTTCCTGAAGGCAATGCCACCACCCCATCACCATTACTAGTTTGTGAAAATTTTATCAACCAAGCTTTTGCTTCCTCTTTGGCTGCTGATGAGTAAGTAAAAACCAATAGGAGATTGTTCTGTTTAATCTTGCCTTATCCAACATTTTAAAAAGCTGATAATGCATAATTTGTGGAATTTATGAGTAATATTTAATGGCTCAGTTTTTTAAGTGATAAGCTTTTTTGCCTCCTCAAATCCCCAGTAATGCATGAGGATTCCAATGATGTAAGAGAATGGTGCTATGCGCACTGGCTCCCTTCCTCCATATACCTCAGTTTGAGACCTATCTTGGTGCATGATACCCAATTCCTGGGCAGAATTTAAGTCATTGCACAAATAAGCCTGGATTTTTCACAATTTGTCCCACATTCAGATTGGGCTGCTTCTAAATTTAAGTCATCATGTGGAGGCTACTGAAAATACAATTTGCATTTGTAGCAACTTTGTCATAATTTGAAGGCATTCCTCTTATGGATAATCCTGACTGTAAAGAAGATTTTCTATACCAGCATGATGTGCTGTAAATATGTTCAGGCTGGCCCAGAGGCCCTGCATATATGCAGTTAGAGCTGTATAAAGTGAGCAGTTCTTAAATTGCTTAGCAGCAGCCCCTGCCTACATTCCCAAGAGAAAACAGTAAGCCATGCTTACTTCTTTTCAGTCATTTTCTCCCTCTAGGCACTGCATGCTTGTTTGCAGCAAGAGAATATGAGCAAGGGATTTGCATGTGTCCATTTATTTGCACATAGCCTTGACCTGTGCTGATCAATCTTCTTTGAGCATTCTGAGAGGGCTTACTTGCTGGTTCCAAGTGTGGTAAATGCACCATAGAGTGAGGGAGCAGTGTCATCTTCATGTCTTGATGCCTTTTCATACCACTCTCTTCCCAGAGCTGCTTGATCTCATCGCTGGAGTAGTTATGAATTTACCCAGCCTGTTGGTACTGGGTGCTCTTAACTTCCCCCCTCTGGGATCAGAGGCAGCTTGGGAGTTTGTAGCCATCATGGCAATCTTGGGCTTGTGCCAAGTCATCACTGGCCCAACCTACACTGCTGGCCATCCATTAGATCTGGCCTTTACCTTGGAGAAGATATGTGATCTGGTTCTGGGGGATATTTCCTGCAGTCCCTCGGTCATGGATAAATCACTTTCTTGTGACAATGGGATTAACTGGAGCTACCAGCTTCTGCAGGGAGGAAGGGCCAATTAAGATGCTCCACCCCAGATGCCTGATGGGTCTGGAGGGTTTCAGACAGTGATGGGGCTTTTCCCAACAATCTGGACAGCCATTCTGTAGAGTGCCTTGTTAATCTCTGGAATACAAAGGCAACCAGGACAAGATCACCTCTGAATAATAATAAATAAATAATAACTCAAAAATATAACAAAACAACTCATGGATAAAACATCTCAAAGAATAAAACAGAGATGGCCCAATCTAGTTCAAATATCTTCCAAAACAGTTATGTCTCAGCATCTTTCTGAATGCAATCAGGAAAGGAGCCAGCTCAGAGGTTCCCAAACTCTCTTGGTTCCTGGCACCTTTACTAATTTTTTCAGTGACCCTAGGGTAAAACTGTGAGCTACCTCGAGCTAGTACTTTACAGTAACAGATGTGAAGTACTCTGTGTTTTCCTTGAAAAATTAAAATATCTCAGGGTGCCGCATGCATAGTTTGGGAACTGCGGGGCCAGCCTGATCTCCACAGGAAACTTGTTGGCTCCAGCTCCCTTTTGTCCCCAAAGTAAGGTGCTAGTAGTAGTATCTGTCTAGATGACCTGGTTGAAGCAAGTGGTAAATTGCATAAATAAATACAGAAACTATGATAGACTCCTGAAGAGTCTTTATAGACTGGAGGTTTAAATATGCTCCTATTTCCATACCTTTACCTCTATAGTGACAAAACAGTGAGGATACTGATTTATCTTATAGCTTCAGGGACCTATAGATAACAGACTTTTCTGTTCTCCTAGTTCCTTCCCCTGGTTTGATATAACAACTGTACAGCTAAAAGACTCGCCTCTTAGCCAGCTTCTTGAAACAAATTCATCTCTTCAAGAAATCATTGCTTCCTCTTACTGTAACATGGTAACAGTATTGCCCACAAAAACCGAAGATTTTATGACCTCCATGACTAAGAAGATACCTCTTTCAGCTGTGCTGCTGAAACCCACTAAGTCACTGAATTTTCAAATTGACAGAATTTCCACAAGCAAAACAGAAGAGGCTTCTAGTACTGATTCTGGAGACTCATAAATTATCTATTCAAGCTGTCAGAAGTGGAACCATTTTTTTGCTTTCATTTTTTACATTAAAAGCACTTTGGGAACAGCATCTATGATGGTGTTGTAGGAATTCAAATAGTAAATATTAATGAAAGCCAAAACTAGGAATAGATGTCAAACAGAAGGGAAATCCTAAAAACCAATTCATATGATTTGTGTGTCCCTTTCTATCATATTTGCCAATGGCTGCATTCACATGACACACTGAAATGTTAAACTGTTACTTTGTGCACAATTCTATGATGTTACACCCTGTCATTTATGGCTCTTTAATTGAAGTTTGCGTTTTATTGTATCTTTTGGATCTGAAATGGCTGCCTCCTTGGCGTTCATAAATCCACTTTTTAGACATAAATTACATTGTAAATACCATATTTATAAGTTTGGTTATTTGATTTTTCATGTAGCTCCTCCATCTTTGCATTTATCTAAAACTTAACTATATTAACACAATATAATTGGCTCAGCTAAATATTGTTGCAGTCTTATATTATGATAATGATCATTTATCCCAGTTTAGAATAAGAAGATTGGACCTGCAGTGAAATTGATGCATGTACTTCTAAAGAAATGGAAGTTCTAAATTATGTTATGGATTAGCAAATTCCAGTAGGAAAATTTCTTAATTTTATACGGCACTGGAACATTTTGAGCAGTTGGATATCCTTTGCACTGCATGACTATTGTACTTTCTGTAATGGATGTTGTCACATGAGCCTAAGTATTTAGATCAACTCATTAATATACTGCAGGTGACCTGAAGCCACATATATTCTTGTAAGAGTCCTCACAGGAGGAACGATAAGATTTCTTCATAAATTCCACTAAGAACAATGCCCTGTGTTTACATATGGCTGCAAAAATTTGATATGCAAAAATTTCTGTTTTGCATCATTAAGCACTTCCTCCATGATTATCCTATATATCATGTTTAGGATTAGAATACTTGTTAAACTGCATCCATATACAACTTTGTTCCCAGTGAAAACTGAAGTAGAAACACAGAAAACTATTGTAATGTGATATCTGAAACATGTGAAAAATAAATACTATCTTTTTGTTTATTTTGAGGAAAGTGAACTAGTTTGCTGTAGTTCTTCATATGATGGAGTTGAAGGCTGGGGTTCATATTCACATACTGGAGTTGAAGGCTTTGGTTCATAATCTTGCAGTCCTGCGTCTTGAACAAACTGAGAATAACTAAGAGCATCACTGTGCTTTCCAGTTTGAGACTTTTGTTCTAAAAACAACCCAGTATTATCTCGAGGTGGGAGAGATATACTTCTCTCAAAAAGGGGCTCCTCTATTTCCAGCAATTGTCGCACATGCCGTGAAACTTCCTGGAGAAAAAAAATAGAGGAAAAAATCTAGAAAACAAATACCATATTCATGTTTCTAAAGCTACATAGTTGTCATCCTAGTACCCCACCATGGAAAAACAAGATGACTGGGAGGTGGTTGGCACATGATTCACAATAATCCAGTAGTGGAGTATATATTGTCATATAAATGTACCACTGTCATGTCGAGTTTTGGTTCTTAATTTTTTAAAACCATAAGGCTTATTGTTTTTGCCACAATAAAGAAACATAGTCACATGAATCAATTCTATTCTCAGTAAAGAGAGCTGGCAAATATCTCTGTAACATAAGAATAACATCTTAAAATGTGTAAGTTTCTAAGTTTCTCATTTAAGCAATCATTCTCAGTTTCTAAACAAACACAAAAATATTGTACTCTTAACATTTATCAGTTAAAACATCTGCACAGGTCAGTACAAAAATAGAAAATTAATAAAAAATTAAAATTAAAAAATCAGCAATAGTCAACAACACAGTGGCAACACCCTATCTGGGTAAACAAAAAAATATAATTAACTAATAGGTCCTCCCATATAGGATCCCTTTAGCACTACATAGTTAATACCTATGTACTATTAATAGGAAGCTGACATATAGCTCTGGCACTATTCTTTCTATCTATCTATCTATCTATCTATCTATCTATCTATCTATCTATCTATCTATCTATCTTGTCTGATAATATCCTTCAGTCACCATCCATGCAAGTATAAAGATGAGCAATAGTGGTGTGCATATTCAGTACATGACAAGTGTCCAGGAAATTTAATAACAAAAATACAGGTAGATGATGCAACATAAAAACAAGAAAATATGCCCACCATGTCTTGGTTAGCTCTTTCATAAAAGACAAGACTGCTGCAACCCTATCTGTAAGTGAAAAATGATTGACTGAATAAATGCCTGAATGAGTGGATGGCATAAATACGGGAGAACAAAAGCTACTTCAGAAGTACTGAGTGTCAAATAAAGCTATAATAATATGAGGAGGAAAACCTACCATGATCTTATTGTTTTTGTCAGTTTTGCAATAGGCACAAAAGATAATCAGTATTTTTACTCTAGGGAAGATATAATTAAATATGTGCTCTCACCTTCATATGTTCAAAGTCAGTAATCCCAATCTGTGGCAGATTTGAACAGTTTACATATATGAGTTTCCGTCCTGAGATAAAATTTGCAGTAAAACACTCCTACTTAAAACAAAACAAGAAATATTATATAGCTTAAAACCTTCTGTTCTTCCTACTAACTAGCAGCACATATATAAATGTGAAAAAAAGTGGTTTATGAATATCTATGGAGACAAAATTTTGGGTCCTCCTTTAAATTTTTTAAGTGCCTCATCTTTATATTGCAATAGGCTGACACACCAAACAACCTAAAGATATGGAACTTAATTCTAGTTTACTAATAGTTATACTTGATTGATGATTTATCAATGACAGGATTTATTTAGCAATGGATGGCACTCTTCAGTGACTGAGCAGCTCCAAATTCCCTGGCTCCCTTTCATATCTTTTTTCCTTTTGCAAGATAACATTGTAGACCTTTATAACACTCAGGTCAATTCTGCAAATCTCAGAGTTTCCCCCTTTATATATTATACACTAGAATCCCATGACTAAAATCCTTTGTGATTAATTATTTCCCCATCAAGGTAGCCTTTCTTGGGATATGACCATGATGCAGACAGTTATGTGAAACTAAATTCATACGTTTTCCTAAATTCATACATCATGACATTAGAGTTTGTTTAATGAGCCAAAGTTGGCTGGATTCACACAACAAAACCAGATAAATCACATTATAACTAGTGCATGAGCTGAGTGACTGAACAAAGCTACAGTACATCTCATTCTCCTTTGCATCCTTTGCCTCTCTTCATCTCATTCCATTAAAAAAAAAAAGACATTTAGTACTACTTATGAAAAAAATGCTCAGGATTACTCCCTCAGATACTGTACATGTACAAAATCTGCAAGAATCCAGATAGCCACTAGATGGTAGCCAGGAGACACAAAAATTCTAGCTTTTGTTGCCATCTAGGGGTCATCTGGATTTTTGTCACCCAGCTCTAGCTGCCCTATCACTCTGTGTGTGTGTGTGTGTGTGTGTGTGTGTTGTGACATGACATAAACTCCACCACTTACATATTTGTGTATGACATCATAATACCAGTGCAAAAGGGGGAAGCATGCATTGTGACTTTCTGATGCACATTTTAATATTCTGGAGTCACTGTGGTTAGGAACAAATGCCTATGCATAATTTTACTGTAATATGAAAACTGTCCACGGTTGCTTTGTATACAGTAACTAAGCAATACTTGGACGTTTACTTCATTATTACTATATTCTGGAACTGAGTACTGTAGGTTATTTTTTGAAAATAGGCAAATCCTTGTCACAGATAATGCTGCTTTTTTATGAATTCATACTTCATGCTGTGCCATATTGTTTAACTGTAATAAATAAACCACAATTGGCAGGATTCACACATCATATTAACCCACAAACTATGTGTTAAACTATGCACATAATCTGGATTCACAGAACATACTAAAGTAGATCAAACATTTGTTGCTTAAAGTGATGTTTGAATCCAGTCATTGCAAACCATGGTTTGTGGCATACTGTGTGTCATAAATAAGCCAGTTTGGCCATACTCAGCAAACTATGGCCTAGTGTGATGTGTGAACTCATCCAGAATATCCTCCCCCTCTGCTTGCAAGGCAACCCGATCCTCTGGCCTCTTACTTTGTACTGAGGGAACCCCAAGGCATCGATCCATTCAGCCACCTCCTCGGGGGTCCAGGATAAATACAAAGGACCAACGATGGTGGGAGTTTTGACCTCGGCTCTGAGTGGCACTTCGGATTCGGATACGAGTATTGTTTCCGATTCAGCCGACGCTCGGCTGTCTGCTTGGGCAGAAGTCTGAGACTCAAGGGGACGGGGACGGCGGCGGCGGCGGAATGGCCTCTCACCCTCCTCCTCCTCCTCTTCCTCCTCCTCCTCCTCTTCCTCCTCCTCCTCTTCTTCCTCTTCCTCGATGTCTTCGTCGTCCGCGATCTCCGTCAGCGAGGTCCCAGTACTGTCCATTTTTCCGACGGAAGGGGGGAGGGGAAGTGGAGGAGGAGGGGAACTATCCCGGTGCTATGACAACGCGTCCTTCCTGGAGCGGTCTCCATGGAGACCAGTACTTCCGGGAAGTGGCGCCGTTTTTCCTTTCCTTGTTTCGCTGTCTGTCATCGGAAAACGCTCTGTCGCAGCCTGACGAAGAACGTTCTCGTTTGCGGCCGGATTTAGGCGGGAACTCCATAGGGTGGAGGCCTGACAAGCGGCTGCTATCGGAGGAAGGAGAGCCGTTCGGCTTTTCCCGGCTGCTTCCGGATCGGTTCGCCACTTCCCGGTTGACTTCGGGGGCTTTGTTGTCTTGCTTTCCGATGTCGGACGAGCCGGCCGCCCCGGAGGGCATCCTGTTCGAATCCTCCGCGCCCGGGGGCTGGGGAAGCGGAGGCAGCGGTGACCATTGCTGTCCCAGCGGGCCCGAAGACCACAAGAAGCGTGCCGCGGCGTCGCCGCTCCCTGCTCCTTCGGGTACTTTCGGGGCTGCTATTAGAAAGAGGTGGTGAGGGAAATCATTGTGTCTGTCAGGCCTAACCTCCCCATGGGCCGAAGGATCTCTCAGAGCGCAGGGCGGAATTGGTAAATGCGAGTTAGTTGGGGAGGGGGTTGATTTGCCACTTTGTTTTCTCCTTTCGTCTTGTAGTTGAGGCCCTGCAGGCAGAAATTCAACAGGCGATTCCTTCCCGATAGCAGGGCTGTGGTGAGGTGCTCCAGCCCGTACTCGGTTCCTGTGTTTGGCGGACTCGTTGCCTTGTCAGAAGGAAAGTAAATATGAGGTGGCCTTTGGGACGGAGGTGCGGAGGCGAGAGGGAAAATGTCCCTCTGTGGAAATGTGGTGACCAAACCGCACAGAACCGAGGAGTGAAACGGTGTGCCTGGGCTGGCTTGATGAGTTATTTGTGCAGAATTAGTGCTGCCGATGTTTGTACAAGGACTTTCTAAGGTGTTAACAAGTCATCTCTAATCCATTACTCTCCTGGTCCATTGGTGTACAATTTTGTCATCCCTATCTGTAGCCTAATACAGGTGGAGTGTGCCAGGCTCTATGGGAGGGCTACTTTAATGCTTGCTGGTAGCCATTCAGACATTCAAGCTGAAGGAGTAAGCTCTGTTGAAAATAATGAGTTCTTAGTAATGAGGAAGGTTTGACTGTTAGGGTACTGTATCCCAAGAGCTACTGTGTGTGTGTGTGTGTGTGTGTGTGTGTGTATATTTTGGTAGCAAGTGCAGAAAATTGTCCTTCTCCTATCCTTTTCTCTTGTGCCCAATTTGAATGTGTCCTTTGTTTAAGCTCCCCTTCTTCTGGCAAGATATTTCATATGCTTAGCAGCACATTTTACTAGGTACATATCTGTAAATAACCCTTCTTACCAGAATATGCCATTAGTTGTGGTGGAACAGGTGTTTCCCTGGAAGCTTTGTTACCTGGACAATGGTTTACCTCAAGGCCTGCATAATTATCATATTGTTCTGTGTTAATCTCAAAGAGAAGCAGCATGCATGCGTGGGAATTGATCTTTAGAGATGCTTCTTGTACTTGGTTGGTGAGGTAGAAGAGTACCATAAAAGAATCCTTGGACGTGTTGTGTACAAAGGGATGTCTGTATTTTAATGGAGGGATTGGTGCAAGTTCTGTAGCCCCACAATTTTTCCCCCTCTCTTTAGAAATTCTTGCATTTCGGTAGCCAAATGTTGAACCAAAGATCAATTTCCATTGTAATGACAAGATCAGCATTAGAAAATAGGATGTTGCACTCAGCAAAGAACAAAACCATACTCCACTACTTTACAGGTTTGGGGGAGAATATTGTCATGTAGAAGATACATACAATATGTATCAGTGTTGCATTTTTATTTTATTTTTATCCTGCCTTTATTTTTATAAATAAGGCAGCAAACTTACCTAATACTCCTTCCTCCTCCTATTTTCCCCACAACAACAACCCTGTGAGGTGAGTTGGGCTGAGAGAGAATGAGTGGCCCAAAGTCACCCAGCTGGCTTTCATGCCTAAGGCGGGACTAGACCTCAAAGGTCTCCTGCTTTCTAGCCTGGTGCCTTAACCACTAGGCCAAACTGGCTCTCTTTTATGAGCCAAATAATAATGTGTAAATAATTATTATTAATAATAATAAAAATAAAAAATAATAATACAATTATTTATTACTGTGACAAATAATAATATAACAAATTGTTTATATATAAATAATATAAATATATATAAATATAACATGAAACATAAAAATATATAAAATATAACAAATAATAATAAAATGGCTCATTTATGAGCCAAATAATAATGTGACTGACATTTTTCTTTTAGTAATATTCTTATGTTTGATAGTTTTGTTTGTAAGGGACTACTCCCTTGAGGTATTGCACTGTTTATCTTTTCCCCAATGTACCAGCTGTTTTATAATTAGGCTAATGTAGCTTGGCGCAACTGTTGCATCATGTAATAGTGGTAAAAGTATTAAAGTTATTTGCTTTCTTGTTTTATATGCCCAGAAGCTATTGCTTTTTTGCCCTGTGTAATCACAATATGTAGAATTGAGTAAATTAAGTACTGTTTTCACTAATGTGAAGATCCTAGAAACATGAAATTAATGTCTGATCTGAAGTCTCATATGTGATTTTCTAGAGCAGTAGTCTCCAAACCTTTCTGACTGTGCATCCCAATCAGTTAAAAAAGTTTGAACATGGACTCCAATATGTGCATGTTTAATGTATATATTACTGAATGAATATATTATGTACATTATAAATAGTATATATAAATTTTACATATAAAATATTATATACATTCTGCATATTAAGTATTTATATAGCTTAATTTCTTTCTTATTTTTCTAGATAATAAAAATAGACTTTGTAATACTGTTGTGTGTGTGCACCTCATTTTGGAGACCAGTGTTCTAGAGCACATCTCTCCATAATACATAGTTTTGTTTGACAGCTGTTGTAGCATTGTAGATCCCAATTGAAGGTTATAATACCCAAAGCAGACTGAATTGTTTTTGCATCTGAGACTGAAAGTCTCATAAGTGTCTCTTCTTGGGAATAATACAATAATAATAAATAGCAGTATCTGTCTTTCATGGCATTAAAATCAACTTCAAGAGATTATCACTTTAGTACCATGAACTAATTAGGCAGATATAGAAAGCCATAGTATCAGCTTTTCATTGAAGGGTATGAAAAGGATATCCAATTTGAGGATACTTTCTAACAATTTAAATTATTTTAATGCAGATTATAACATAATAATATATATGGAATGCTTTGAACCCCATTTGAGGTGCTGTATAGAAATGGTGGTGTTTTTATGAGAGTAACCAATGTTTATGTTGCTTGTTTAGCTCCTTCAAACCTCTGTCAATATACAAAGGATGTTGCCAACTGAAACCATTAGAAGGGGATAGAGTGTTGTATGTTATTCTGGAATGAAGCCATTAGAAGGGATAGAGTATTGAATGTTGTTCTGTTGTATGTTAATAAATCTTGACTAGCCTTCTTCAATCTGGTACAGTACTTTCCAAAAGTGTTGGAATTTGGAACTACATCTCCCAGAATTCCCAGCATGTTGACGAGGAATTGTAGAATCTGCAGTCTCTACACATTTGGAGGACACCAGATTCGGGAAGGCTGATCTCGGGTATTTTTGCATGATATGCTTTCCCATGATTGCTGAATCATAGTTTGTACAAAGCCCAATTTTGGGATTTGGAAAACATATTAAACCACGAACTAACATTGTGAGTGGGTTAAAATGTGTGATCAATGGTTCCTATCTGTTTGGGGCCAAATGGCATATTTGACATTTTAAGAACACTTGGCAGGTACTCTTAAAAGAAAAAATATGGCATGGGTAGAGTTTGCTCTATGAAATGGCTCCCACAGTGGCAATCACAGACACACTCTAGCTCCTTCAGAAAGTGATTAATCCCCAGTTTATCTCTGCCTTTTTGGGGGGCAGATAAATCTTATTTATTCCTACTCTTTGACTGTAATGGTATGTGGGAATGTCCCTGGGAGACTGGGCAAAGAGATGCTGCCTAGGGAATGGTCAGATAAGAGGGAGCATAGCCCATAGGTTAGTGGGTAGAGCAAGAGGCTCAGGAGGGACCCTCCCTAAGTTATCAGGCTGTAAAGGTGACAGCGGGAAAATTGTACCTTCAGACTTGCAAGATTCTGTTAATGTAGCCTTACAATAAAGTAGAATTAGCTTATCTGATCTGTTTCCTGTTTGGTCTACCTAGGAAGGCTGACATTGACAGAGGGAAATAGTACGAATGATCTATCCAGTAGTTGTTTGGACTAATACATTGTTGTTGTTCAGTCATTAAGCCGTGTCCGACTCTTCGTGACCCCATGAACCATATCGCGCCAGGCCTTC